TTGCTCGGGCGATTTATTCAAAAAATGGCTCCCATTTCAAAAATAGAAAATCATAAAAATTTTTAACTTTAATGTCCGTAGAGTAGTGGAAGCAATTCTGATATTTATATGAAGAATTCTTAGTTGATTAAAATTATTGTTTTTTGTATTTTTATAAGAAAACTTTTCTAATTTGTTAGGATAATAATATGAAATCCGCTACAATAAATTTTTTTTTTTCAAAGAAGCTGTTTTTGAAAAGGTTTTCCTTAAAATAAATGTTCATGTTCTCAGCCACACCGTTCGGAAGCCTATAGCAACAGCTCAGTAAAATGTTTTTAGAATGATTGTTAAGAATTTCAATAGTGAGAAATACTTAAATCATTCCTAACATAATGTGCAATACTTTTCTTTACATAAATAAGAACTCCTCCACAGCGTTTATTGATAAGTCTCTTTTGAGAAATTAACTCAAAGAAAGGAAGATTAAAATTTAAAGTAGTATTTAAATCATTTTCAGTTATCCAGCTTTCAGTTAAACATATTATATTAAAAAAATTGTTGATATTTATATGAAGAATTCTTAGTTGATCAAAATTATTGTTTTTTGTATTTTTATAAAGAAAACTCTTCTAATTTGTTAGGATAATAATATGAACAATCCGTAATAATGTCATTGAAATAATTAATATATGGAAGTTTTCATCAGATGAGAAGTGTCTCATTTCTGAAAAATTAAAAAAAAAATCGTTTACTTTTAATTTTTCATTTCTGAAAAATTAAAAGTAAACGATTTAAAGTTGTTTGTTTCAGACAATTTGATTAAGTTATAAATTAGGAGAACTTTAAATATGTTTAAAAAAAAAAATTATTTTTTATGATCTCTACAAAAAATAGAATCAAACTTGAGAATAGCTTCTTTTCTCAATTTAACGACTTCATCCCAGAGTTTTTTACGCTTTTCTATCGTTTCCTTTGCAAAGTCTTCGTTTACGAACACACCTGTTCCGCCTAGTTTTTTTGAGTTTTGTAGAATTAACTTTTTGTCGTTGAAATTTAAAAGTTTGATGATAATCGTTTGCTCTTTACCTTGTTTTAATGGACCTGACCTGTGTGCTCATTCGATTATAATGTCTTTGCTGGTTTTAGATTATTGGAATAAACATCCTTAACTACTTTTTCACACTCATCCCATGTTTTGCCTTGAATTTCTTTGACACCATCACACAGTGTGCCCAGGACATGAAAAAATTCCTTTTTCTGACCTTTTATTTTTTCACTTTAATTTGTATTTTTATAATGTGTAGGGCATATGTTGGTCAGTGCAAAAAAAGTTTTGAAATTCATTAAACCATTTTGTTTTTATAGCTGTTTGAAGTTGAAGAAAATATTGACGCAAAATATTTGTCTTAAAATTGGATCAATTCTGTTTTTTAACAACAACTTTGAAACGCTATACATTAAAAACTACTCCATGAATTCACGGACGATTCAGGAATATCTGTTGATAACATGCGACAAAATGTTATTGATAAAAATAGGAGAATTAGAAGAGATTTTACTAACCTTGAACATCAAATTAAGTTCATTTGAAAAATCTAAGCTTATTTTAAAAACAATCAAAGTGAGATATAATCTAACTATAGAAGATGAAAAAGATAACATCAAGAAAATTTTAAAGCAAATTGACAGACACGTAAAAAAATATTCAAAGTTGAAACAAAACAAACTTTTGGCCAAATTGGAAATTTGGAGAAACGAAGTGGGGATAAAACTGCCCGGGAATCTACCTGCAGCAGCATCATCATCATCCAGGGGTGATGTAGAAGAAGAGTTAGCTTCGCAAGCTAAAAGAGGACGGAAATCAAAAAGACTAGGGTAAAAGTTTAGTTGTTGACATATATTTGAATTTCTTAATCATCGTGTTATTTGGGACACCCAGTAGCTATTTTTTTACTTTTTATAATACATTATTATTTAATTCAGCGATCAACCTGAAAAACGTACCTACAACAAAATTCTGGATGATTTTGCGGACATCGTGGGAAAACATGCAAGTGAACAGGGAGTAGATAAGTCAGAATACTTAAAAGAAGTTGTCCAAAGATGTGAAAAAAGATGGGGAAAGGAGGAAGGAGTAAAACTTCCAACAATATCAGTACAGGAAGCAACTGCTTTAATCTACAACTTGGATCTATCCATAAATAAATATCAGGTGAAATATGCAATCAAATACTGTTGTAATTAATTGTTTTTATAATTCTACGTTTAAATTTCATATATTTCCCCAGGAGCTGAGACTTAAGCTTCTCCCAAAACTAATGTTGCCAACAAGGAATGATGTAGATACCTTTAAAGGTACTTTGCTACCAAAGGATTTGAGTAGTGATGACAAACAAACTTTATCCCCTGTGAACAATGTTATCAAAGACACTGTTGAGCCTCTACTTGATATATCCGGGTTTTGTGCTGAAAATCATTCTATACATGTAGAGGGTAAATTTGTACTTGATGGATCTGGAAATCACAACTATCGTCATCAGTTTTCCGATCCTCAATATGCAGACTTAAAAAGAACAAATTATATTTGTTCTTTTTGGTGTCCCCTTGAAATAAAAGATTCAAAAAACCAAGTTATCTGGACTAATCCAACCCCTAACTCCATTAATTCTTCCAGGCCTGTTAATCTAGTGAAAGCAAAAGAAACTAGGGAGAGTGTAAAAAAGAAACTAGGGAGAGTGTAAAAAAGTATTTTAAACCAACTCTGAGCCAACTGCCTAAAAATGAAACTTTGCCTATTCTTTCAGAAAATGGTTTGCAAATGTTTATAAAAACAGAGATAAGTATGGTTGATGGCAAAATGGTAAATTTATTGGTGGGTAATTCTAGAACTTTTTTTCACTACTATAAATGCTCCAGAGATGATGCAAATAACCTGGTATGTATACTATGTGGGTTTACCATAGATAAAAACTATAATGATATGCTCAGTACTTGGAGAAGACTAGAAAATGGCGAAATCTCCTACAAAGATACTGAAAGACATGGACAATGCCATGAACCTATAGTTGAATCAGATGTAAAATTTTTTGCCATTCTACATCAAAAGCTACGTGCACTTGTAACACAAACAATGGACCATTAGCAGATCGTTTTTTTAGTCCAAAAGAAAGAAAGTCTATTTGTTCCGTAATTCTTAAAACAGAAGACCAAGATAGCTTCTCGGCTTTGTTATCTAAGTTCAATATACTCTTTAGCATTAATAAGCATGTTGATACTAGCAAAAAAGTTGATCCTGATAAAGTTAAAGAAGTTGGTTATGGATTGATGATATTCCATAAACAGACATTTCCATGGTTGCACATGCCTGGGAACTCTTTGTTATTACAGGTGGATCACCCATTTCTAAGTACTCTGAGCAATCAGACGAAAGTTGGAGTAAATACATTAAGGCTTATAAATCAGGAACAAGTTGTAAAGCAAGACAAATGTCTTTGCAAATTAATACACATGACATTTACTGCAGACTGATAATAAAGACACATCCAATTATTGCCAGTAAAAAAAGACTTTTGCAATGTAGAACATGTGGAAAATTCGGACATACCACAAGAGGGTGTAAAGTAGACGAAAACAACGTACTTAATGAAGAAAAAAATGATAATTCAGGAATGTTTTATGTGACCATAAAAAATAGATAGGACTAATATCTGTGTATATTTGTGTTTAATATCAAATTATGATGAACTTAAACATATTTCATTATGAATTGGATATAATATCCTTTTCTAAGCAACCTTGCAAGCTATTAACTTGCTAGTCACGGTGATCGAGGAGCTATTTGTTATATGGGACGGGGGGCGGTGGAAGACAAATTAAAAAAAAATATTTTTTAATTTATACTTAATAGTTTATTTAAAAATTTTGAAAAAAGTAAGAGCATGACTCTCGGCGCCCCTTCTCCTCCCCTACCGTTGCCCCATTTTCTGGGTTAGAGTGCACACACGTAAAATTTAACTTCAGAATCAGATTAGTCAGCCCAAAAATGTAATATATTAAAATTTTCAAAAGATTTCATTAACAAATAACAAAATTATGAATTTTTTCCAAAAAAATTACATTCTGGGCACACTGCGCATCAATTCTAACATTATTTCGTCTAGAATACCCAGTGGGCACTGGACCTAAAAAAGACGTCTTTTAAACGTATAAAAGACGTCCAAAACGTTCAAAGACGTTTAAAACGTGTATAAGACGTTTAAAAGACGTCTTATTTACTTCCTTGCCCATTGTGTAGAATATTTTAGTTAATAATATTTAATTTAATTAATTTAATTAATAAAAAATTAAATAATAAACAATTAATATGATAATGTTTAGAATATATCTAATATGAATAGAATATATTTTTATAAATAAAAAATAAATATTAACAACTTTTAAAAATCCGCCGACTAAAATAACTAAAAATGTAATAAAATGTGACAACTTTTTTATGCTAAAACTTTTTTAACTTTTCAAAATTTGTTTTTAATTAAGGAAAATTTCCGTTTAATTTTGTTAAATGTGTACTTATCGTGTTTAAAACGGAAAATAAATCGTAAGTCAGGAAATTTTTAACGGAGTAGTGATGAGACAAATATTGTCTTCTCTTTGTCCCAGTTATGTAATTGCTATTTGTATTAAACAAAAATGTATGTATTTTTTTTACTGACAAAACAAACCATATAAAAAAAGTTTAGAAGTTTACTTTATTGTCAAAAATATTATTAAGCTATTTTAGTAAAACTGTGCAAGTTTTATTTTAAATTTTAATAATTACAGAGTAATTACAAAAAATAACTTACAGAGTAAGTCATTTTATTAAAAAAAAAAAAAAAAATCCTTATCGATATTGTCTTAATTTTATGATGCCAAATCTACGTAATTAATTTCGTTTCGTAATTTTGTTTCGTAAGAAAATTAGATATCTTTTAAGCAAATTTAAATTAAAAAATAATTTGCAATTGCGATAAAAAAAAGAGAAAGCTAACCACAGCTTTTATTTTCTTTAGTTCAAGTGTGGGTTTTTTAAAAAGTTTTTCAACTTTATAGTTTTATAATCAATGAAGATGAGCAATAAATTAGTGAGAATAATTTTTGCAGCATCTTGTTTACTTTTGTTTGGTGTTTTTTTTTTTTTGGAACAAAATAAGTTGAAGCATTTACCAAGGATTAAGTTTCATGTAAATTCAAGTGCACTGTCTGCAGTCACAGTAAATAATACGAAACTGGAATATAAAAACATCTTTTCAACTGAGGAACTCGATTGTAAAAGTTTTGTTTACGATGCTTCCGAATGGACGTTAAGATACCAAAAGTTAAACGAAACTTTTAATGAAAGTAACAACAGCAAAAATGAGTTTGATTGTAAAAACGATTTTCTCAAGTTGTTAAACAGTAGGTTAAATTTTTACCGTTTATTATTTTTTTGTAAGTAGAAGATTACATTACGTTACACTAAATCATTTTAAAAAACTAAAACCAGTGAAAAATCGTAAAAAGATAGGCATGGTTTTTTTATTTTGTTCTACGTGGGTTTCATATGGTAAATCCTAGATGGGATATAGGTAGCAAACCCCACATGGATTATATATGGCATATTCCTTATTTGATACGCGTGTTTTTAATCCCGCATGTAATTTTTGTGGGGACTGTTACTTCGTCCCTCATGGTTTTTATATGTTAAATACCACATGGGAGATGGAAAATACTTCATATTTTATAGATTTTAAATGCTATATATTTTAATCCAAATGACATAAAAGTAGTCGATACCAGATGAATGAAAATCCAAATGCTTCTTTGAAGATTAAAAAAAAAAACTTATTATTAAGAAAAAAAAGACCGAGAAAAAAAACCCAACTAATCCTATTAAGTACTTAATAAATTGTAATAGTAAAACTTACTAAGTTCCTGATGAGTACTTGCATGAAACTTTTTTTTATTTTTTATTTGCCAGAATATGTACAAGGTAAATTTACATTGAATATATTACCGGCAGGACTTCTAGAAGATCACAGGATCTTATCATGAAGCCCTTTACAATCTATATAACAAAAAAAATACAATATTCCAATATTCTTCACAGTCTATATAATAAGCAAAATAAAGTATATAATAAATCAAAATAAACAAAAAACAACTTAAGTAGTAAATAGATATAAATATTTTGCGTTGAAAAGATAACTTCTTTTACTTTCCGTTTAAAAGAAGAATAAGACCATTTAAAAGAAAAATCGAAATTATGTAAAATTATTTTATTCCAAAGAGAAGGACCACGATAAGAAATACAAAACTGGTCAAATTTAGTTTGGCAAAATGGCTCTTCGATACTTTTACTGGCACGAAGATTATATTTGTTTTTAGGTTTCAAATTATAAAGGTTTATAAATACATTAGGTGATATATTTTCTTTACATTTAAACATAAAACATAAAATATTCAAAACATTTAGTTCGTAAATATTCAAAACTTTCATTTCTTTAAGAAGTGGTGTTGAGCTTGAAAAACGATTCGCAAAATTAATTGTGCGAGCTGCGTGTTTCTGATGTCGATAGAGAGATTTAAGTTTGGTTTTGTGAGCGCTTCCCCATATTTTATTTGCATAATTTAAATGGCAATGAATAAATGAATAATATAGTTGTGTTAATTGATGTTTATTTAATATATGACTAAATTTATTTAGAACTCCAATGCTTTTAGCAATTTTCATTGAAATATTATCAATTTGTTGCCTCCAAGATAAGTTTTCATCTATTATATTTATCTAAATAATATTTTTTACAGCCTGACAAATGTTAATAACAATAACATTTTTATAAAACTCTGCTAAAACTAAATATTTTTTATTGAATATTTGATTGATAAAAAATAATATTATAAAAATTAAGGAAATAATTTTAAGTAGGAAAGAGAAAGAGAGGGGCTCAGAGGGGTTCAGATTATTCTACAAAGAGAGGAAGAGAGGGGTTCAGAAGTGATTAATCTACAAAGAGGTTATTAAGGGCAGGTAACATTTGACAATTGTTTAATATTGCTATAAAAACTTTCATTTTTTTCAATCATAATATCACCTAAATAGTGTTCATTTAAAATACAAATAATTAAAAGTTTGTATACTAATTTGACATAAGCATGAACATACATAAGTTGGGAGTTTGCATAATGCTTAAATAAGTCATATATAAAACATCAAAAAAAAAAATCCTTGTAACATTCGCCTATGTAACATTCAACAGAATATTATCGCCTTCGATTTCCAAACAAATAGTTTTAATTAGTGTTCTTTGTACAATGCCAAGTCGAATTGGTTGACTTGTGTTTAATTGGTTGACTTGTGTTTAATTTAGCTTGATTGCTGCGTATTGCTATCTACCTGAAGGTAAACTTTATTGAAATATATTTTCTCCATTGTAATTGGCTGATTAAATGGTGTAATTATGACTGTTAACAAGCAAAAAGAAAAACTGCATTAGGATTATATTCCGAATGTTTTTTTTAATTCTGAATTAAAAAAAATAAAAATCTTTATGCAGAATACTTACTTTTTGACAACAATGCTAATTTTTATTAATTGACTTGTAATTTTTACCAATTATTCTATAAAAACTCCCAGTTACTTTGATAGCATTTTTGCTTTTGAAAAAATTGGGTTGCTTCTAAATGTGAACGGTGACAAATCAATACAATATCTCAATTTATTTTTAGACAAACAAAATTTTTGAACACATTCTACATCAGAGTAACCATTTAAAGCAACATGCTGAACCAACCGCTGACCAATTTCCATTTTAACTGAAACTAATTAATGCTATTAAAACAACTAAATGAACTATGATCATTATATTTAATGAGATATGTACAATTTAACAAAAATACTGTGAAATAGAATATTTATAAAGATATAGTTTTTTTTTTTTAAATATATACAGTGTTTTGTTAATATTTATAAATATATGACTGTATACATTTTATATACAGCTTTTAAAATTTATAAAGATATAGCGTTTTTGTAAATATAATAATTTAATAATTATCTATATAAACAAAATAATAACTGCATCTTAACAATATACCATCTTTTAAAATATACAATATAGGAGAAAAAGGGGGCACCTTTAAAAAATGTTGTCTAATATGACAAAAAACATACTACGCGTTGGTAAAACAGTTTCTTTCATTTCGCTTATGTCAAAAAGAGTGCCTCATGCGTTTCTGAGTTGTGCATAATAATGTTTATTTTGATAAAAATATTATATACGGTTTTGTCCCTCTTCTGCGGCAGAACCGCAAAGACGTAGAGGAGGCACAACCGCATACTTTTGATATTTAAAAGTTAGGTAATTACGAATAACAATATTTATATATTGTTATAATCGTCACACTTGAATGCGTTTATGTGAAAACTTGAGTAGAAATAGTTTTGTTTTGAATTGTTAGAAATTAGATTTCGTATTTTTTTATTTAATTTTGATAAGTTTTTGATTAAAATATAAAGCTAAGAGCATAAATCGATATCTTGTTATACTTATGTATATCTGATGATTATTATATATTGTAGGTATATAATTGTGCATTTCTTAATTTTAAAAAAATGTATCATGAAAAATGTACATTCAACGATTTTTGTGAGTGTGCAGTGTGTACTTTTTGTGTAATAACATTTTCAAATACCGTTTTATTATTTTTCTAATTGCAGCAATTCAAAGCTTAATAATTTGATTATTGTTAAAAAAACTGTTAAAAAGACACATTTTGCTTTTATTTTTATATAGCATCAATCCAAACGTTACGAGGCGGCCCTCTTATTACATTATAAAATAATAATGTAAGTCGACAACTTAATATCCTATATTATCTAACAATAAAAAAACTTATTCAATTTACTATAATTTTAGGATGGTGAAAAGCTTTTCATTTTCATTTTTCCATAGCTGTAATAATCGTAATTTTTCAGGAAAATATCTTAATTGAAAATAAATCTAAGAAATATGAATAATTATAAGTCTAATGAGTTTTCATCACATTTAAAAAAAAAAGAAAAAAAAGAATATGTATATCATAATTAGAGCTGTGTCAAATATACCTGACTTCTACAAATGCATTTATGTAATAATTTGATAAAGGCCAGTAGAAAATTAAAACCAAAATATTTCATTTTCCTTCATCTTTTATTCAACCAAAACTGTTTTTATAACGAAATACATAAAAATGTAATTGGATAACTTAATAAAATATATTTTACTTTAAAGTGTACCATTATAAACATCTTGACGTCAATTTCTTGTCATTAAAACATAAATTATTTGACAACATTGTAGTGTTGGTAGAGACCATCTCTAGCAACACTACAATTCTATTTAAAAAAGCAAGATAAAACCTTGAACTTAAAAAGCATTCAACATACTTCTCAACATGTTTATGCATTTGCAACAATTTTTGATAAGTATTTATTAAATTTCCTATAAAACAAAAGAATTCATATTATTGTTTATGTATATCCTATTTAAAGATTGAATATTCTATATATTTTTTACTATTTGATTTTCCTATTAGGTTCAATTATACATTTAAATTTTTACACACACAAATACATACATACATACAAACACACATACATGAAACCTATTACAATATAGGTATTATGTATACATACATACATGAAACCAATAAAAAAATTCCTAATGTAAACTAAATATAAACTATATTATAACATAGGTTAAAATAAAACAATATTCAATAATCCTATAATTTGTTATAAGACCAGATAACAATGAAACAACAATATATTTACAAGTAAAATATTTTTCTATGTATTCTATAAGAGAGTGAACATTTCAGCCTTTATTTTTAAAGACTGACAATTTTTTTCTTTTAAAGCCTGGCTAATAAATGCTAAAATTTATAGAGTACCAATCCAACATTGACATATGGGTACTGTACGGGGCTCATACGGGTCGTCAACTGGGTCCCATATGGAAAGACCAATGGTATCCCGTTGGATCTTGGTTGGGGTTTCCATATAGGGCCCATATGGATATATACCCACATTTTTAGGTATGCCCGGCGATAGACTTCCCGTATTTAGGTCTGCAACTAGGACAAATACGGGAAGCCCATCCGGAACCCGCCGCATCTTGGCCGTAGTTTTTCTCAGGGGCTTATATTGGTATGCCCGCTGGGTATCCTATATGGGTCCCAGAAGGTTTACCCATTGCAAAGCTTACAAAACTACGTTTTAAAATTTAAAGAAAAAGCAAATTAATTAAACATCAAAATATTTTTTGCATGTTCAGGAATGGCATTCAATCGCACTTTTTTAATATTTATTGGACATGTCCGGCAAACTTAAGTCTTTATCAGACTTGAGTTTGTTAAAAACTTTTTTTACAAATACACTTAAACAACTTTATAAAAATGTTCTTTATAAAAGGTTTAGCATTATAAAAATAAATGACTGTAAAAACAAGAGTTAATTTTAAAATCAATCAATAAAAAAATTTTATTGCTTGATTTTATTGCTTGATTTTAACGGGCATTTTTATGGACTGTTAGTAACATTTTTTGATAATGCTAAACTTTTTATAAAGTACATTTTTATAAAGTTGTTTAAGTGTATTTTTAAAAGTTCCTAAAGTTTTTAACAAACTTAAGTCTGATAAAGACTTAAGTTTGTCGGACATGTTCGATAAATATTAAAGAAGTGCGATTGAATGCCATTCTTGAACATACAAAAAATATTTTGTTATTATAAATTATCTAACAAAAATTATGCTTGGTGTTAGATACAGTGAAAATTCACTGTACTTAAGGTAGCGTTTTTCGCTAAATACAGTGAAAATTCACTGTACCTAAGAAAGCGCTATTCGCTAAATACAGTGAAAATTCACTGTACCTAAATAAGCGTTTTCGCTAAATACAGTGAAAATTCACTGTACCTAAGGAAACGTTTTTCGCTAAATACAGTGAAAATTCACTGTACAGTGAAAATTCACCGTATTTATCAGAAAAGCTTTTAAGTTACAGTGAAAATTAGTTTAAAAAGTTACAGTACAGTGAAAATTAGTTTAAAAAGTTACGTACAGTGAAAATTCACGAGGAAACTGTTAAAATAATAAAAATGTTGTTATTTTGAAAGGGAAAAGCATAATGCTCATTGAAATGTATTAGCTAAGTAACATAAAAAACCCAGGCGAGGAGTTGTTAATAGAGTGGAAGTAATTAAGGAATATATCTCAGAAAATAAAATGTCATATATATTTTTTTACCGTATATATATTAATTTTGTTGCAGGAGTCCATTAAATACTTATTAATAAAATTTTATTTATAAGTTCGCACTTATGATGATGCACACTCATGGCAGTGTTTGCAATATTTTTGGCGCACTTAATCCACCTGCACTTATGCCATTCTATGCAACTGCATCGCACTTATACCAGTTCGCACTTAAGCTGATGTCTATAAGTTCTTATGGTGCACTTATACTGATTCGCGCCTATGCCAGTTCGCAGTAATGACAGGTTTTGCAACTTCTTTGGTCTTAAGATAAAAATCAAATTCAGCTTTAAACCAATTACTAAGAAAAATCTTTTAGTGATAAATTAGAAGTTGTGAGTTCCTGTAATGAAACAAGTAATAGTCGTTTTTAAAGATAGACAACAGCGGGAAATTAAGTCAAGCTATCTAGCAACACTAAAACACGACAACACATTGATTACTTACAATAATAACACATAGCATCAGATATTTAACTTATAATAAATATAATCATTTAATAAAGTTAATATTTGTTTGTGGTCAAATAATATTTTATGATTATAGATGATGTAAATATTAATTAACCATTGTTTTTTTTTTCCCCCTGTTTATGTATATAATATTAATTTTTTCTTTTAAAATATTGATTTATTTTTATTATAATTTAAACCATTTTTGTTGCTATTGGTGTTGATAATTTATAACTATTATCTTTATAATTTTTATTTGTATCACTAATATTATTTAATATGATTATCGTTAGGTTTTTACTTTATATTAGTTTTAAAGTAATTGTAAGTATCCTTGACTGTAAGACCTTGTTCAGAAATATATATGATTGATACAATATAAATAGTGGATAAATAAGTATAATAAGTTTTAGCAAACATATAACATATATAAACATATAACATAAATAGCTACCACAAAAACGGTGTCAGCTACAGTTCCATTAATGCTTTTTTTAATAATAAACCCTCATTACAGAAAAACAGAAAGTGTTTGAAAATTAAGTCTTGAAAAAAGTTAAAAAGGTTTTTCCTTTTTTTATGCATACAAAAAGGGAGAAGACACCACTTATAAAACATAGATCGTCCAGGTTATAATTTAAAAATCCTGAAATTTCTTTGCGTACAATATGCATAATATTTTTTCTCATATTTTTCTCTTAATTTTTGCCTTCAGCTGAGTTAATTTTATCATTTTTTTGTATGAGTGTGGAATTTAAGTTCATATCCTAATATAAAAATATTTTATATTAGGATATGAACTTAAATTCCACTATTTCCTTACTTAACATTGAGCACAGAACCAATATCCTTTAGGTTTGCAAGATATTTGTAGACAAACATAATGCGACCAGTCTAAACAATGATCACACTGAAGCCATTTTTGGTTTTTTCCAGCTGCCTTAGACTGCCCGCATACTTGACACGGCTATTTTTCAATTCTCACATCTTCACACCGTTTGATGACTTCAGCCCATGCATCCTCTACAAAATATTGCTTAATGTCATCAAGAGTTGCTCTAGGATCAGCAATCTTATTCGATAACTGCTTTAAAAACTGGCAGGTGGTAATTTTAGCACTCTCGTGTAAAACCTGCAGGGCAACTGTTCTTTCTACAAACCAACAGAGACGGATATGATCTTTTTTGAAACTACCTAATTTTTCAAACGCTTTTATAGCTTTGTCAAAAAGTCTCTGTTTGTTTTTACCTACACGACCAGGTGGCTTCCGCTGGGGTTGCCTTAAAACTAAATTTATATGTGGCTCTTGAGAGACTACTTCACATATTTCTTTATTTATGCATTCAAGTGGGGTAATCATAGGATCTGCACTTGAAGGTGATTTAACTTCTAAAATTTCTTTTGATGATAGATCTTCTGTAGATGTAAAACCTTCTAGACAAGGATCACTTTGATCTACTGTAGATGTAAAACCTCCTAGACAAGGATCACTGTGATCTTCTGCAGGTGTAAAAACTTCTAGACAAGGATCACTTTGAAACTAAAATAAACAAAACATTTTTCTAATGCAGTTCTTTAATGATTTGAAAACTAAAAGCATCTAAAATCCATTGACATACCATCAGTTCCCATTCACCAGAAATGCATTGTTGATTAATAGATTCTAACCAGGTTATTGCAAGTTCAAATTTTTTGGGTGGCATTTCAGCGAGCAAAGAGGCTATTGGTTGAAGGTAACTCATTGCTGTTGTAAATCTTTGTTTGGGAGTGGCACAACAGAGAGGTAATAATTCTATATTTGAGGTAATATGTGATTGCGCTTGGTCAAAACTTACCTGGTTTGCTACAGTATTGCATGAAATCCACCTAAATAAATTTATGTCAATGTAAATAATTTCTGTTATCCTAGTGTAAAGTAGGTTAAAAAATGTGTTTAAAATTTTTATTTCAGTGTACACAAAAAAGAATTCTTCTAGCCAATTAAATAAAAGTAATTATTTCATTTATTGAACTATAACAGACAATCAATTTAGCATTAAAAAATGCAAATAGGGGATCATCGATACATCATTTGTTTTGCTTTTTAGATTACCTGAATGGCATGGTAACTTTTTAAAGTAACTTTTTCTAGAATAAACAATGACTCAGAACATTTAATAAGTAATAAATTGCGTGCAACATTACAATACATGTTTTGACTACTAAATTGTAAATTGATTATTATTCAAATAAATTTTAATTTAGCAATCTATAACATAAGTGGATTGAAATTTAAATAAGGTCATGAAGTTATATAATATTACGAACCTTTATTATTATTAATTAGTAGAAAACCCAAGGTTACCTTTTATGAATCAACTGTAGATCATTAACAGTTACATTCTTCGTTCTTAGAGCAAAAAGAACATGTGCACACGGCACGCCAAACCCTGATGCAGCATCACAGATGCAAACCCAGTCTATTATGTTATAAAAAGTTGATTGCCGATCGATTATTTGTAATGAATCTCTGTCCTAAAACACCATAAAATAAGTAATGATTGACTAGCAAATCTTATTGGAAAACAAAAAATAATAAAAAATGGAGTACATTTAATAAAAATTATTAACCTCATATAAACTAAAATCAGACTTGATACTTTTATCATATTGTTCCATGAGATGACGAAGAATAAAAGAAGAAACATGACGTGAATAAAACTTTAGTGGCTCTGGAAGTTTATTGTTAATTTTTAGTTGTTGGTCAAAGTCTGCATGTTTAGATTTTTCTATTTGCACTCTATTAACCTTAAGAATTTTATCTATAAGATTTCCCGGTGACACGCGTGACAAAAGGCCAACATCTTTAAGTGTTCTATGATATCTAATCAGAACAATAATTAATTGTTATAAAATTATTGTTAAATAATTCATAAAAAATGTAACTTATTCGATCTAAAACTTTTTCCATTACAAGACTTTTCTATTAAAAATAATGAAGTCATCTTAAAATAAGCACCTTTTAAGTCTGTTATTAGTATGATTGTCTAAATGCATCAGACCTTTTCTATAGTGACCCATAAACATTTCTGGTATGGTCAGCCAGTTTTCTTGAAGATACACATAGAACGTAGGGAAATTTTTTTCAATATTTAACAAAGCTTCAGCGCATGTTGCCTGATTACTGTACATTAATTTCTGAGTAGCCTAATGAAACATTTAAATAGTTAAGTGAGAGCATAGTTGCATTTTTACAATAGTTTTATTCATAAATTTTCCAATTGTTAGTAAGATAAACAATAAAAATAATTAAAAATAATATTATAATTGCAAACCTTGAATAATAATTCCTGATCGTCAGCAGTAAGTCTACCCTTTTTAATTTGATAAATAAAAGCTTTAGCTACATGAAAGCGACAGAGAAATATTTTATTTCCTGGAAAAACAGACTGTAGTCCAGATATTTCTGCTTGAGCTTTATCAACCATGAATATCGACTTTTGAAAAGTTTCAATCCCAGCCTATTCCTTAGCATGTGTCATTAGCAGCTGTAGATGTGACTGGTCCTCACAATAAACTAAAGACTGCACTACAGGTCACCCCATGCCATTTTGATCCACAACAGCCATTGTGTATAATGGCATAGAAAAGTTGTTAATCTGGATATTATTAGGAAATTTATTAATAGCAATTCATTATTTTTGTAAATACCTATTTTTTTAAATAGAAATTATACCCTCAAAAAAAATCTTACGCCACACACTTAGCCAATGTTAAGACAAACCTTATAGGTACCATCAAGCATGATACACTCAGGATACTTTTTCAACAAATTTAATTGTTCAGTAGTTATCCACGTTATACACTCTACTTTTCTATCAAGATTGGCATCAATATGGGATATGACGTTTGGTAATTCAAGAACCTTTATAACTTCATCGAGTGCAGGACCTGTTTATTTTATAGGGAAAAAAATAACCTTTTAGAAAAGATAATTAACCTTTTAGAAAAGTCATACAATTTAAAATTGAAGTTTCAACCATAACAAAAACCTTTAAATTTCATTCTTTGCTTTATGTTATATATATCACGAGGTCTAGTCTTTAAACCATGCCTGTTTAAATTGTCTGTTATAAGTGTAGGATTAGCACCATGAGATAGCAGAAGCATTGTCTGCTGCTCGAGAACACCTTTTGGTTGACGTTCTGAACTATACATACCGAACTGCTCAGGCCCATGTGGATAATTATGAACTAAATTTTTTTTCTTAATATAATAACTCCTTATTTCTTTTTTATAGGCTACATAAATAGCCATCTTACAACCACTTGCTAGCACGCTATTTTCTCGTAACCCTTTGCCTCTCTTTAAGACACTGGGCATTACTTCTCCATAATGTTTGCATATCCACCTGTAAAAATAAAAATCTGTAAAGTTGAATATTTAAGTAACATTTTATTTTTAATATTTTTATTTTTAAAATATCGCAAATTATTATTTTTTTTTTTCTTCACTTGCAACAAGGAAGCACTATTTATGTTAGAAATTACTGGAAAAAAAAAGATAAAGATTATAGAGCAAGATAACGATTAACAGACAAAAAAAAAAGAAAAGTTGAAAATTATAAGAATCAGGAAAACAAGATAAAGGAAGTGAATTAAATGTAAAACTGATACTCGAAGAAAAAAAGTAGATAAATAAGAACCTTTGAAACACTTTGTAAAAAATAAAAGGATGAGACTTAATTGAATAACTAATAACACGACAATGAATTTTAACAGATGGCGTAAGAGACACTAGCTCTTTAGAGCAGAGCCCATTTTAGTACTTGTACAAGAAATTAAGAGAAGCAACATCACCTCAATATGATTGAAGCAACATCATATGATAATGGTTGGAGGTTGGCTGCAAGAGCAGGTCCAACTAAGTTTTGCACCTTGTCTAAAAGAGAAAGAGCATCTTCGGAAGATCCTTCCCAGATATTTCAACAATATTCCGTAAAAGGACGGATAAATTATTTATAGAGATAAAGAATGGAAATAGGAGTCTAAAAGTGGCAACAAGATAAAGAGATGCAAGGTTAGAAGATGCTAATTTTGATATCAATTTGATATAAGATCAGAAGTAATAGTTAATCCTAAAAGATGATAAGAAGATGACTCATCAATTATATTACCGTTCATAAATTTAGGAAGATAAAAGTTATTGCGATAACAATTGGCTGAAAAATATTTAGTTTTATCTGAGTTCAAGTTCACCAGCCACTGAGAACCCCATGCTGTTTGTCATGCTGTAGCAGAACCCCAGTTTGTCATGCTGTAGCAGAAGTAGCTTAAAATAGATCTGCTGTAGCAGATCTATTTTAAGCTTGGATACCTCTCCAAGCAATCAGAGAGTGTTGGTTTTTATCAAGACAAGAATAAATATTAGTGTCATCAGCCAACAATGCCACCTAAGATGTGGGAGTTTCAGGGAGATCATTAATGTATATTAGAAAAAGTATAGGACCAAGAATGGAACCTTGAGGAATCCCTGAAGTTACCGGAAATGAGAAGAATGCTGTCCACAAAGTATAACTTTTATAATACGATTAGTAAGGAAGAATTCAATAATCTTTAAGACATTACCTGATAAACTGTAAGACAAAAGCTTAAGGAAAAGACCCGAATGCCAAACTTTATCAAAGGCTTTAGAAATGTCAAGAGCAATGGCCTTAGCCTCTCCACGATTATCGAACACACGATAAAACCTATCAGTTATTATTGTTAATAATTAAGCAGTAGAATGAGAAGATCGAAATCCATATTCAGATCAGAAAGTAAATTATTAGATTCAAGATGAGAGATTAATTGTGTGTTAATTAAAGACTCAAAAACCTTGCTTATGCTGGTAAGAAGACTGATGGGATGATAGATAGACAAGTCGGATCGCTATCTAAAATTTTAAAAAATAGGAAACACAGACACAGCTTTCCAGCAGGGCGGCAAAAAATGACTTCTATAAACATTTGTTAAATAGTTTTGAAAGTATAGACGACAGCTCCGAACAACACTTCTGCAAGACTATGACAGGTATGTCGTCTGGACCACAGGCTGAAGAAGTTTAAGCAAGAAATCACTTTTGATACAGAAGCTGGGGTGATAAGAATGTCAAGCGATGGATTAACCTGTTTGATGGTTATATCAGGTAGAATGTGATTGGTCGAATCAAGAAATGAGATAAATAAAAAGTTCTTAGTGAATAATTCAGCTTTGTCTTTAAGTGAAGTAACAAAATCTGAACTGTGCAAGAAAGGTGGAATAACAGATTTGCCCCTATTAGAGAATTCTTGAGAGCCTAATTTCTGAGAAAAAATACTATATTTAGTATTTTTTCTCAGAAATTAGGCTCTCAAGAATTCTATAATAGGGGCGTTAGACAAAACCATGTTACAATGGTTTATAAAATAACAGCTTTAAAGAGATCAAACCATTATCAGAAGAACCTAAGTGTGAATGCGGAGAAACTGAGCATTGACAAGGATCAGAAACAAGACATAAGTCAAGTAGAGAAGATAAATGATTCAGATTATCCGGAAAGTTGACTATTTGTGTTAGAGATTGAGAAAGGCAAAAATTGTTGGCCTTAATGCCTGAAAAGTCACTTACACTAGAGCCAAGCTATTCAGTGTGATTAGCATTAAAGTCACCAACTACAACAATATTGGCTGAAGGATAAAGAGAAAGAGCTTGGTCAATTTGATCAGCAATGACATCAAAAAGTGCAGTCCTGAGATGAAGGAGACCAATATAAAACAAAAAGAAAGGTGAGACAGTGGAGTCGTGCTAAATGAAAGCCCAAAAAAATAATCTGCGGATTCAAACCTAGTTTCCCAAAAAACTAGTGAATTCTTATGAATGTAAATGTCTAGGCCAAGCATGTGACTATTAGCGTATAGTGAATTTCATATTTATTTCAAAAAATAAAAATCAAGCTTAAGAAAAGGTTTACTCTTATGTAAAATTAAATTTCAAGGTAGGTTTGCTATTGACTACTATTTGATTAGAAAATGTCTTGATACCCAAATTTTCACATTTAGACATTAAAATGAAATAAAATTAATTTCTATTAAAGTAGATTTAATCTGTTTTTGTTTAGACTCATTATAAGCGCAGTGGCAAATTAATTTTAAAAGAGACTTCGACTTGTCTCTCTGCCGTATAAAAATGTGATTTAGATACTATTATTATATTCACAATTAGTTATTTAATTGAATTATTCATTAATGTTGAAAGCTTTATATTTATCCTTCACTAGAAATTTCTAGATTTAGTGGACTTGGAAAGGATTTTATTCCTAATTAGTTGCTTACAAACAGAGTAAATATTATATAATTTCACAACAAGAGCAAAAAAGCACAACATGCAGTCTATACCAAAATAAATTTTCTAACAAAAATCAATCTAATTTCATTTGTTCTTGCTCAATGGAGAAATGAAAATGTTAGGTTTCAACAACCAGTTATTTTTGGGGAGAAATCACTTTATTATAGAATAAAAACTTTTTGGGAAAAACAATTTAAAACATCGCATGAAGAAGAACTGAAGCTAAGGTAAAAGAACTAATACCAGAGTTTTAAACTAATAGACCTCATAACAAGTCCTCATACAATATTTTTATGAGCATAATCTGTTTGGGTATCCCCCAAAAATAGTACGATTATAGCACACATAAATTGCAGCTGTATTTTTACTAAACGAATTTTAACTATGGAGCTCATGATATAAAGTCAAAGATATAAGACAGGTTGAAAGTCTGAGATGCAGATAATACATGCTAATAATTTGAAGGGACAGTTACATTCTATTATTATCAAGAGAATCACATTACTGTGGCTATAGAACTTTGTGTTTGATATCTATCTGAATGCACGTATTTATTTGAACAAACCAGCTACAAAGCTTCCTTAAGTTGTTTGTTTTTCTTAGCAAAAATATAATCTTACTAAATGATGTGTAACACTTATAGATTAAACAAGTTATTTTCGTGTCACCTAATAAAAGGAATTAATGGACCAACATCATTTAGTACTGGATTTGTAAATCCTACAGGAAAATATCCTGATATTTATAAAATGGAGTATAATCTTCAATTTAAAACTTGTCCAGATGGAGAGAGCTTTGTTAACATTCCAGAAACAATATTAAAAAGATGTCAACGCATCAAAAACAATATTATAAGCTATGTAAAACTTAAAAAATCTAGAGCTACTTATCTTATTCTGTTTACAAATTACTTTAAACTTTTTTTAACATAATAAAAAACAAATTTAAAGATGCTTCCACATTTTGTTTCAATTGAGAATTTTCAGAAATCAACCTGATAGGGTAAAAGAAAGAATGACACCCTATGCCCAGCTAGGAGCTTGGTATGCAAAGTATATGAATGTCTTCATTATCTAGTAATAATGCAGAACAAAAAATATGAACAAAATAAGAACAAAATATGGTAAACTTTGCAGTTTACCATATTTTGATACAAAAAGGCAACAATATTGTTGGAGATACCAGAATCAGACCAAAAAAAATACCTAAAGAACTTTGCAGCGAGACTTGTCAAGAGATAGTTAAACATAAAAATACTGTAGTACAAGAACCTGTTTTAACTTGTTTTCTCACAAAAGGTAACTTGTAATTGCTAAGATTGACACCTTTAATAACTCCTTCAGTTAAAATTTTTACCCAAAGTACAGAGCATGCTGTAAAACAAGTGACATTTGCATCCATGACCATAGATAGGCCAGGCGCAAGAGATGGTATATTAGTTCTCAACATAAACAGTTGCTACCTGGGTTAAAAGTGGCTTACGTGTTAAAAACAAAGAAATAAATTCTGTTAAGTTTTTAATGTATATAGATTTGAAAGATGTTATTTTATTTTTTTAATAGAGTTTTAGAGTGTTTTCAAAATATTATTTAGGTAAGATAGTTGTATTTTGGTAAAACCGCATCACTGGCCACCAGCAACGGATTCAGACATCATACGGCCCGAGTGTTTTGTTTTTTTGGAGGCCTGTTTTATGTGGAAAAGCCTAAAAATAAAAAAATAAAAAAAGCTCCTCTAAAATATTTGGGGGCCCCTAATTTGTGGGGCCTGGGCATCATACTTTTCAAATTTTTGATTTTGAATTAGGCAGATGATTTTAATGGTGCCACTATATGTAAAAATGAACTTCCAAAATAAAAAAATTTGAATAAAAATTTGAATAAAATTTTTTTTACCTAGACGGGATGGCAGTTTTCGAAAAGGTAAAACTGTTCATTTATGCATAAATGCAAGAGGGGTCAAAATTTTAAAATTATTGGAATATGAAACTATTTAGATTTTTTTTATATATCATTATATGCTGTGAAATGTAAATAATTTTTTTTTCTAAAAAAAAATAAATTTTCGCAGGGAAAAAGGCCTTATAAGATTGAAAAAATATATTAAAATTGGAATTTTTTTCATAATAAATTTTCAGACTTTATTTGTTGGAATGAAGTTTTTATAGTTCAACTTAACAACATCGTTTAGCTTTACAATATTTAATTTATAATATTTAAGTTATAATATTGTCATAAAAATGTTTTGGTTTACGATTTTGATATGAAAAGGTTACTAAAATTTTTTTTTGATTAAAGCTTGGGCAAAGTTTTTATGTTATTCATTCGTGCTCTCACAAAACCGTCTCTTTTTTCAAAACCACAAACGGAAAGTGCTGCTTCTGTAACTTCTTTTACTGCCCTTTCACAAGATTGCGTGTGAAGAGGAAAGTACAGAGCTTCAAAGCAAGTGACCAGCTATTTGCCAAGATTGTATGTAGAGATTTGGCACATAAACACTGGTTCTGATATTTTTTCCTTCTCCCGATCTATTAGCTCTTTGATAGACAAAGCTTCTGTATTGAGAAAAACCTTTTTTCTTGACCTTACCGCTGTGTCTCCGAACTGCGAGGTTTTCCTTATATCTTTAATTGTTTTAATGGTAAACTTCCTCAATTCTTCATCTGAACTTGACAAAAGAGTTAATATAAGGGATTCCGAGCTGGTTTTGCTTGGCGGTATAGCTTTAGGTGGTGTGTAATGAGTGAGGTATCTTCCATCAGGCTCACACGTCACAGTTATATGTTCTTCTTTTATAGTCCTAATGTGAAATTTATTTAGAGGATTTCTAAATAAATTTCACATTAGAGGATAAATTTCATGTTAGAGGATTCTGTTCCAAAATAAAAGTTGAGTCCTTCCTGCCATCAATAAACAAACCTCTAATAGGTTCTTTGTCAATTAACTTTTCTTCATACATTATTACTCTCTTCATTATTTCTTACTTTCATAGGATCAACAGGTAAATAAGACATATCAGGCATCAAACACTTTGCTTCAATAAGGTCTAAAAGAAAGGATGTAATAATAGCTGATGTTGCTACTGGTGAAATATCATATCTTATTGAAGCTTCTGCAATATGACTTATTGACATTTTTTTTCCAAATCTTGTTTTGAAGCGGATCTTCTGAAATCTTTTCCTTTTTTAAATCTGAATAATCCTCAATTAAACATTCAACAACGTTGTCATTTTCTACCTTAAATTTTTTTTTCCATTTCTAATTTTTTCTCTACTCAAGACTTTCTCTTCACTTTTTTCTCCTCTCGCAAAAACTGTCTTGCGGTCTCTTTAATATCATTGAAACCCATCTGGTATTTTGAAATAGATCCTCTTTTTTTCCTTTGGGCATTAAGCCATAGAAGTTCAACCTTTGGAATTTTTTTCTCTTTTACACAAGTTCATTTAATATGTACTTGTTTGACGCAAGAATAAGTTTTCAAACACAACTCGTTACATAACATAATTTCACACTTGCACATGTTATATCTAGAAATTCATCCAGTTTTGATTCCCAAAAAGACACATGTGTCTGAGAAGCTTTCCCATGTGCTATATCTTTGATCTTGTTCCAGGAAAACTCAATTTTTTCCATCAAAGTTCTTTCCAATAACCACTGGAGGTTTAAAAAGATTTTTTTTAAACATTTGCTTTTATCTACTGCTGAAAAACGATATCAGCTAGTAGTCGAGAAAAGTCTCTCAATCAAATATTCCTTCTAAAGACAAAAATATATAATATAATGCAGAATGTATAATTTGTTTCATAAATTTTGAGTTTCTTGATTATTACCTGTTAACATCTTCTCGAAGTAGAGCTTCTTGGATAAGCAGACCTTTTCTCAAAATATCTCTTAAAGTTGGCACTTCTGACGGAATAAGATCCTTACTTCTGCCTAAATATGTTGATAACTTTGTTTCCACAGGGAGTCTTGTGTTTTTTGAAGTAGTCATAGTTAATTTAATATAATTATTAGAATTGGCATTTATATGATTGCAAATAAAAACAAGAACTCTTAGTATACAGTTTTTAAACCACGAAAAACTCATAAAAACATAATTACATAGTAAACTCATAAAACTCGTAAAAGATAAACTCATAAAAACATAATTACAAAGTTGAATAGTCTGAAATCACTTACAATTCAACCGCCAAGTGAAATAACAACATCATTATTAAGATACACTTTTAATTATAGTCATTTTAACTGATTTATAAAGACATAAAAATAAAGTCTGAAATTTTCTAGTAAAAAAAATGACAATGAATGTCCATGTTATTTAAAAAATTTAACATTATATTTTATACTTTAACATTTTTTTTCAATCTTATAAGGCCATTTTCCCCCGCAAAAATTTAACTTTTTTAGAAAAAAAAATTATTCACGTTTCATAGCATATGGTAATATATATAAAAAAATCTAAATAGTTTCATATTTCAATAATTTTAATATTTTGATTGTTTTGAATTTTGAGTTTAATGTCTTAATCAGGACAAATTGTCTTAATCAAATACAATCAGTCAATCAATATATTAATCAATATCAATCAATTTATATTTTAGAATACAAAAGTTGTTACAACTCAAGGTCATTTACAAATAGTAATGAACTAATCCAAAGTAAATACCAGATATTAATGGCAATAACAAATAAAAATGAAAATAATAATAACAATAATAATATTATAAATAGTATTAAAGACATTCATTATATAAGAGTAATGTAACACCAAATAATTATAACTACATTCCATACATATGATAATAATAAATACAACACATACATAATAGCAATATTTAATAAATATTTATTAGCAAGAATAATAGTCATATAAACAAAAAATAAATTTAAATAATTTAAATAAATCATTACTAAATGCCACACAACAATCGTTTATACATACAAAGTTACAGTTAAAAACAGTAATAATATATGTTAATATAACAATCATAATTGTTGTAATATAATAACCATATAATAATATAATTACTGCAAAAATAATAAACAAATAAATAAAATAAAAACTGATAAAAATAAAACAAAAAAAACACACACAAAAACGTTATGAAACAAAAGAACTTATAACAACAAAAAAAAACAACATAATAAACAAAACATTTAATGTAATAAAATAAACAACAAATAGTAGTACCAATAAAAAAGCATAAAAACAACAAGAAAATGTAAAAACACATAAAAAATATACATCTGCTCGTTCGTTATTCGAGCAATAATTTTGTATTATTTCTTTTTTTTATTAATTTACTTCTCTATGTATTGTTATTTTTATTGTTTCTTTTGCTTTCGTTTTTTTTTTTTTCTTTGTTTCTTTCAGTGGGAAAAATATAATTGAAATTTTCAGTCATCTTTAGTTGTAACTATTTGACTGTTTTTTACCATACAAATTTTGCTAATTAAAACTCTTGTACTTAAAGATATACGTGTTGTCTGTCACTTTAAAACATTTTATTACAATTGTATGTACAATTGTATGTACAAAATTTGTATGTACAATTGTACATACAATTGTATATAATATTGCTGAAACAAATAATATTGCTGAATAAATTTCACTGATTGTGGAACACAATAATAAAAAATGTTGTGCTAGCATGCTATAAGTAGCAAAACATCATCTATTAATATCACAATAGTACTATTAAAAGTGATTGTGGAACTTGTTCCACTATCTTATTTATCTATTTCAGCAATTGTCACAGCTTACCTTATTATTACTGGTATTACCAATACTATCAATATTTACTATTATTATTATATAGGGCTCACCTACAACCATATATAGCGTTAAGAGGAATACAACATATCTGGGAACCTTCCTTTACTTTTTTATTATAATGTTCAACTTTTTCTTTTGAGTCGATTTTGACGGGGTGAAAATTCATTCTACAATTTTCAATAACAGACTTTTCTGCTTCATCAAAATCTCTAAAATTCTTCATGAAAATGTCCTCCATTTTTTAATCTTTAAGAATCTTATTGAAAATCTTCTAACTACTAAATTTTATTCAAGAACTCTCTTCGAAAATATACTCGTTGTTTTAAAGCATGCACATTTTGGAAAATGAAAGTAAATTTTAAAAATATTCTAAAAATAGATTTTCACTGTACCTATCAAAAAACGCATCCTTAGGTACAGTGAATTTTCACTGTATTTATAATTAACGAAAAATTATCAAAGCTCAAAAAACTAAAATTTGAAAAGAAAGATATATTTATATTACATTTTAAAAAAATACTATACCATGCAAAATGCTTTGTAATATATTAAGTACATAAATTATTACTAGAAAAAATAAAGTGATAATAAATATTCAAATATTATTAAAAAATTTTTATGGACCATTATTCATGTTTTTCATAATGCTAAACTTTTTATAAAGTACCTTTTTATAAAGTTGTTAAAGTTCCTAAAGTTTGTAATATTTTATGAATATCTAGATGTTTTCTACTTCAGTTAAAATTTGGGATTACTTATGTTGTCTGAACAAAAAATGAATTATAAAAATTATATGTGCATTATAAAAGTAATAACACCGTTATAGTGTAATTAATTTTATAATGCAGTTAGAGACTAGAATGTTATTACTTTAGTAGTCAATAATTGTTTTATTTTTTCGCTAACAAATTTAAGTTGCTTTTTATTTAATTTATTTGCTCCTTAAAAACAAAGAACACGGTTCTGCATAAACTTAAAATTTGAAGACTAGATATTTTTCTAGATTTTGCATATATATATATATATTATATATATATATATATATATATATATATATATATATATATATATATATATATATATATATATATATATATATATATATATATATATATATATATATATATATATATGTATTTGAAGTGGACAGTGCTCGAAGAGAGGTGGGATGCCATCCCATCACCTTTTTATAAAGAATAAACCATCCTGCCACCTTTTTATAAATCTCTATATATAACAATGATTAGACGGGATGTTATTTTTAATTTAACAAATAAGCACAGTGTTTGAAGTGGACAAAAGAAAGTAACGGGATGGGTATTTGTTAAATTAAAAATAACATCCCGTCTAATCATTGTTATATATAGAGATTTATAAAAAGGTGGCAGGATGGTTTATACTTTATAAAAAGGTGATGAGATGGCATCCCACCTCTCTTCGAGCACTGTATATATATATATATATATATATATATATATATATATATATATATATATATATATATATATATATATATATATATATATATATATATATATATATATATATATATATATATATATATATATATATCTGTGTGTGTAACCATTGCGTTGAGGTGTTAAGAATGCTTTTGATGAAAAAAAATGCAAACCAGTCTTTAAAATTGATAAAATATGTGGAAGAATTATCTTGCCACACCACTCTCCTTTCTGAACACAATACTTACACCAGTTATAACCATTGCGTCCCTTAATACACTTAACAAATGCTTTAACTGGAGCATCACATATAATAACCGCAAGATTGATTTTGTACTCAATATTTTCATAGATAAAACCGTCTTTTGCAAGAAATTTGAACTCTGCCAAAAAATTATCAAGATAATCAAAAATGGAATTTTTTGGAACCACTTTTCAAACAAATTTCTAAAAACCCATTTTGGGTCTCCAAAAATTGTGAGTAATTGCAAAATATTGCTGTCATAACCTAGACCCAGGCTCTGACAGCAATATTTATAAACAGTAACAACTTTTGGCAAATTTTATTCAAAATATTTTACATGTATATTGAAGATGTGCCACTATTTTAGATTTTCATTGAATAATTTCAAACATGTTTTTTTTATATAATATATTTATGGAGTATTATTCTACTTTAAAACCAGCTTTCTGATTAAATTAACTTGATCAGTTTCAGCTGATGAATTGAAAGCTTAAGCTAAAATATCAGCTGCAACCCCTATTTTATAGACAACATAGTTGTTTTGATGTATATACTTCATACTTTATTTGTTTTTAATGAGTACTTATTTTTTTATTTTATAATACATGTGTTTTTTTTATTATGTGCTTTTTTATAATACAAGCCTTGCCGGAAAGTGCGAGTCGCACGCCTTGTTCGCCCACGCTTAAAGTATTTTTTTTACCAGATTTTTATATAGTAAGCATTTTAAAATTTTGCGGCAAAATAAAAGGCAATAAGAAACTACAAAGAAATAAAACAGCATTACTCAAAGAAAGGAAACAAAGACTATACAAAATAGAAAATCTAAATAAAAAACTGCTGAAAAAAATTGAATATTAAAAAAAGAAATGCTATCAAAAATATAGTATACCTAAATATTTTACAGTTTTTTTTTTTAAGGGCGTTTGTTCATTTCCACTACTCAAATTGAGACAAGTCATGGAAAAAAGCAGATAAGAATATAACGAAAATAAAAACATTTTTTGATATATTTGACTTTCTTCATTAAGGAAGTTCACTACCTCCTTTGAAACAGTTTGCACTTTTGTTGGATTATCCAAATTGTGCATTTAAACCCGATAGTTTATTTCCTGATGAACTATTATTATTGACAATATTCTAAAAGCTTGTGGGCTAGTGCATTGTTTATTTACTGAACTTTTGAACTCAGGAAGGCGTTACGTATTTTTGACGTAATTATTTTTAATTATGTCAAAAATAAATAACTTTGAAACTTTTGTCTTTACTAACATTTTTATATTTTTATTTATATTATTTAAATATATATAAGATTATATAATTAGTAAATAAAAAAATATACAAGATTTTTTTATAATTAGTATTATTTAGTTTTAAATTATTTAAATTTTATAAGCGACGACTTTAAACAACAATTGTCTCTTTAAAAAACTTTCTTTAAGAATCATCAAGTTAATACACTCAAAAAGATTTTGTTAATACACTAAAAAAAAAAAACTTTTGAAACTTTGATCTTTACTAATTTTTTTATATTATTAAAACGCTTTTAATTAAAGTCACTGCTAATGATTTTTTTCATAAAGTTTTAATGTTTTAAATAATAAATGTTTTCTTTAGTTTTTAAATAAAAAAATTACCAATTAAAGTTAATATACTCGAAATGTAACAATTTTTTTTTGCAAGAATGGAAGTTAAAATATATATATATATAATTTTTTTAATAATTTTTTTTCTTTAGTCTTTAAATAAAAGAAATATTAATTAAAGTTAACAAAATTTTTACAATACATTTTTTACATGTTTATTTATATATCTAATAGTTAAATAATTGTTTAATATATTTACATAATAGTTTATGTATTTAATAATTTATAAAGCATTTCGCCTAGTATAAAAACTTTTTAAAAACGTAATATAAATATATTTTTCTTTTTGAATTTTAGTTTTTTAAGCATTTTTTTTTCTTTAAGATTTTTTTTTTGTTAGATCTGATGTCAACTCGTTTCTCCGCGCAGCGGCCTTGCTCGTCAAGGTTCGTGTTTCGGAGTTATAGAGTTGAGAGAGGGTTATAACCATAATTAAGTTGCCTCCTCGTCTGTAGTGGCCTTCTCGGCCTTGAGGAGGTGAATTAAAATAAAAAAAAAAAAAAAAAAAAAAAAGATAATTTATTTTACAAATTTTCTTTTTATTTTTAGTACATTTTGAAACGCCTAGAGTTGTCAAAACAAATTGCGTGGTCAAACTGTAAAAACTAAATATTTTATATGTGGTCAGGAATGGCATTCACTTCTATAATTTTTATCGGACATGTCCGACAAACTTAAGTCTTTATCGGACAAATTGCCCAGTAGACAAAAGTTCATTATTTCGAGCCCTGTGTGTGTGTGTGTACATATATATATATATATATATATATATATATATATATATATATATATATATATATATATATATATATATATATATATATATATATATATATATATTAAATATATATATATATATATATTTAATATATATATATATATATATATTATATATTAAATATATATATATATATATATATTTAATATATAAGTTAAACTGAACTCTCATAATTCAAGCTTGAATGCTAAAGTTATATCAATAAATATTTTATCATTATTTTAAATATAAGTTTAGTATTATATACTTCAAATGAAAGATCTAAAAAGTTTGAACAGATTTTTAGTTCAATCAACCCCTTTAAAACCCAGTATATATTAGAAAAAGTCTAAGTTCAATTGCTTTCCATTTTTTAATATCTAATAAAGACCTTGGTTTTCTGGAGAATTCTCTTGGAATGTAACAATGTATCTGGAAAGATAAAGTATTGACTGTAATATGAGACAATTTACAATAATTCGAGCCATTTAACATTGCTTACAACAGTTATAAGCATTGTGTCTCGTAATACATTTAACAAATGCTCTAGCATCATGTATAATAACAACAAGTTTGATTTTGTATTTTCGTAGATAAAACCATTTTTTGCAAGAACTTTGAACTTTACCAAAAATCATCTAGATAATCATAAATGGAATTAGGTATTTGGGCTCCATTTTTAAACGATTCATTAAAAATCCGTTTTAGTTTTTGCAATTTTGGGTACACCTAAAATTGCAAGTCCTAGATCTAGACTTTGACAGCAACATTTATAAACAGCAACAACTTTTGGCAAATTTTTTACATCTATGTTTAAATTGTGCCACTATTCTAGATTTTCATTAAATGATACATGTATTTTTTTATATAATATATATTTATGGAGTATCGTTCTTTTACTATCAGCTATCAAGCTGATTAAATTGACTCGATTAGCTTCAGCTTTATTCTGAGGCTGATTAGTTTAAAGCTGATGCTGAAATATCAATCACAACCCCTACTTGTTTTGATTTATATATTTTATTATAATACATGTTGTTTTTTTTATACTTGAATATGTATTTTTTTTTATAATATATGTTCAATATGCGCTTTTTTTTAAATACTTTTTAATTACTTTTTTTTTTTAATACTTTGATACTTAAAAAAAAATATTGCCTATTATTCTATAGATTAAAAAAAAAAAATTCTTACATTACTCTAATCGTGGTAATAAATAATGGGAATATTTACTCTAACCATTATATTTATAATTCATGCAAAGTTGATGCAGTTCTACCATACATAAATCTCTCACTAATTCTAATAAATTTTTATTTATTACCATTATTGTTAAAAATATATTTACTAAC